CCCTTTCAGAGGTCGTAATTCTCGTATAGCTAAAGCTGCATCTATTTTTTTGGATCGATTGATACATTGCAGCCATCGGTCTATGCTAATTTCACATTGAAGTCTATTGGAGTGGATACGGATTTACAATCCTCTAGGTTATACTTTGCGATAGGTAAACGAACTTTTACGAATTGGTCAAAAGTACTTTGTGCAAAATCTTGAGAAACCATAAATTCTCTCAATGATTGATTTCAACATCATGGACTTTGGTTTAGTCCGCATAGAGACTTCTTAAGTTGGCACACGAGATTTTCTTTTCCCAAGACAACTTCCGGTTGCTCCATATATAAATTCTCTTCCAGTTTGCCATTAAGAATGCATTGACAACGTCCGTTTAATGAATGAGCATGTTTCTTGAAACAGCAAATGCCAAAAGAGCTCTAATAGACGGGAATCTGACAACACACAAAATATGTTTCAGCGAAATCTATCCCTTCTCTCTGTACGAAACCTTTTGCAACCATAATCCATCAGTTTTACCATTGTCGTCATGTTTCACTCAATACCCATTCACTAGAAATGGCTTTTTTTTCCTTGTGGTAGAGGTACCAAGTCCCAGGTATCATTTTCTATCAGAGATTGATATTCACAGTCAGCAGCTGCTTTCCCGTATTTTGCATGTTCGCTTTCTAGTGCTTTCTTTGGGGATGCTGGCTCTTCAACTTGTGTTACATAGAGTGCAGAATTCATTGTCATAGCTCATGGATGACTTCTTCTCTCTCGTTGAACGTCTAAAATTGGTGGACTTCTTTTCTTCCTCGTCCTGCCTCGTTTCGTTCTCTCTGTCAAGTTCAAAAGGCACTTCTTGTGAATGCTCAAAGTCCGTTTCATTAAATGTGACATATCGACGAATGAAGACTTTGCGTTTATTTTCGTATAGTCTGTATCACTTTTCTTTTGAAATATGCACCCACAAATTGCATCTTTACAGCTTTTGACTCCTGCATTTTACGTGATGAATCTGCAACTTGCAAGTCATAAGTCAGTCAAAAACCATCATTAAGTCACATGACTAAAACAGCTCATTTAATGCACTTGCATGGTCCAATCGTCTTGATTTCATCCTTAATTACCATGTGACAGTCTTTCTGATTTAGTTTTAGAATTATGCTACAACCTAAACCATATCTAGTTTAAACAGAGCGGTTCTAAACTAGCCGTTGGGCAACATGAATCTGTCAAAGAGTTTTTGTGCTATCAATGTATTTTTAGTATTGTTCCGATCAACTTCGTTATCAATACAAAAAAAGCTGCTAACATGAAAATTATACGTTATCATCACCTTTTCGTGAGAAAGTATCACAAAAATATATAAGCAGAATGCCTTAGCTATTTTCCGACACAAGAAAGCTCTCTTAATACGAACCCATGACCTCCGCAGAGGTTCGAATCCAGTTGAGTCACCTGAATTTTTCAGGTTCATGAGACAATTGCTTAAATTGTCCAACAAAGTGCAAAGATCATATCTTCATTTAATTTCAAACATCGCACTGCATTTAACAATCTTTCATACTTTAATCTACATTGCTTAGCCAAAAATTTGATGTAGATTGTCATCGATTGCTTGCACTTGTTTGAAATTCCCAATGATTTATATTAGGATAGACATTTTATTTGGTCTTCGTTAAGCATTTGCACATAGGCGATCCATCTTTGAGAATTTTTTCATTGCTTGGAATCAATCTTTTTTATGTACATTTTACGTAATTAATTTTAAAAATGTACTGTTTTATTTGTACAGCGTATATTTTTAAATTTTACCAAAATTTGTTCGAATTTCAACACCTTATTCTTGTGTTGTTTGATTATATTGTGCATACTACATGCCTATTAAATTTTACTGTAAACTAAATTTTCGTCGTCAGTGAAAAGTAGTATGTTACTTATTGTGTTTCCCTTCTTTTTTGATGTAATTTCTCTAAGTGAAATATATTTTTTGCGCAGATGGATTCAAGAGAAAGCAGGAACCTACTTTATATTAAGAGAATAATTGTTGCAGTTCGAAATGAACTTGCCAAGTTTTTTATTAAAAAATGGAACTCTATTAACGAGAAAAAATTTGGAAAATGGGATAATACGACCAAAAGTGGCAAAATATTTTGGAAGTTGGAATCGAAAAGGAAGTTGGATAAGAACATCCAAAAAAAATATGAGAATGGAGACACCTCTAAGTGGGACTGTACGACATTATTCGATGCAATACTTTTTTCAAATTCAATTGGAAAGCATCTTGACAAAATGACAAAGGATGCTGTTCATAAACTTCGTGGTGAAAGAAACAAAGACGCTCATTGGTATGAAAGCGAGTACTCAGATGACGATTTTGATGCGATAGTCAATAACATTGAAAAATCATTTCAAGATTTGAAATTTTCCTTTGATGAAATCGAAGAAATAAAGTCTTATCGAAAGAGATTCAATCCTTTTCGAGTTCTTCCTCCCAAATCCAATCATTTTGTCGTTGAACGCACAGAATTGCGAGATCAAATTATAAAAGATCTTGAAGAATTACGGAAAGATAACAATAATGAACTGACATATTTTTACATCACTGGTAATCCTGGCAGTGGTAAATCTCAACTTGTAAAACAGGTTTGTGAAAAAATATCGTGTGGTTGGACAAATGAAGCTTCCTTTGTTATGACTCTCGACGGAAAAGATGTAGATTCTCTTTTGAAATCTTACAGTGAACTTGGATACTGTCTAAACTGTGACGACATAATGATTAAAAATTTTAACGATGAAAATTGTTGCACTAAAGAGAAAGTCAAGAACTTGCGATCGTTAATATCCACTCGATTAAAGTTTTGGCAAAGTTGGTTGATTATCGTAGACAACGTGATACAGCTGAGCGAAATTTCTCCGTTGCTACCCCAAGTAAGTGATCCTTTGTGGAGAAATGGACAAATTATATTAACTGTCCAGAACACAGATGCTGTACCTTACGATGAGTTGTTCAGCAAACATGTTTCTATCAGTTCTGGAATGAATGATGAAGAATGTATTCAGCTATTGAAACATTACACAAAAGATGAAAGTGCTGGTGATGAATCGTTGAAAATGGTATCGCACGCATTAGATCGTCAACCGCTGGCTTTGGCTGCTGCTGGCTTTTACTTCAGTCGTGTTAAGAAAACAAACAGTTCGTTCACTTGGACGCAATATTTAGGGGAAATATCTTTGGGACAACAAGAATACATGGACGCCTCCTTTGTTGAATTTAATTCGGTATATCCTAAAAGTATGTTACACGCTGTACTTTTAGCTGTAAGACAAAATGCTGAAGAATCCCCAATGCTGGCCAAGGTTATTTGCTTTTTCCATGATATCGTTTGATCCAATACCACGAGATATCATTGTTTATTATATTCAAAAACGTGATCCCGAACAATCTAAGGAAGATATATGTCTTTGTTTAGACGAATGCTCTTTGTTATTGCATTCAGAAAATAATAATGAAATAAATCTACATCGCATTGTTCACAAAGCAACTATTGTTTATCAATCTGAAAATGAAAATGAAGAACATGAAGTGGAGCATGGTGGCATATCTCCTTCGTCTCAACATGCATTTGGTCAAATAGCTCAAGCACTTTACAAGTTTCATGAGAGAGGACCAAATCAAGTTGATACCACATCTTGAAAACTTCTTGAACTGTTCAAGACCCACAGTATGAAAGTAGACATGAATATTTTTCAAGTTTTCGAATTTTTCACTTTAACATTAAAAAAGTTTGCAAAATACAATCTTGCATTTGAACTGTTAGATAAAATTAAGACAGAAGCATTTCAATGTGATTTCTTTGACAAAGCCTGGTATTTTACACAGCTCGGCGCCTTACATCATTGGACTGGCGAATATTTCAAATCAAAAGAAAATCATGAAAAAGCTCTCGAAATTAAAGAAAAAGGTTGAGTCTAAATTATGTTGATGTCGCTGTGTCTTTAAACAATCTTGGTGTAGCTTGTGATAAAACTGGAGAACGCGTCAAAGCTGTAGAGTTTCATGAAAAGGCTCTGGAAATTCTGAAAACATCGTCAGGACCAAATCATGTTGATGTCGCTGCGTCTTTAAACAATCTTGGTTTATTGTCTATTAAAACTGGGCAATATGACAAAACTATCAACTTTCACAAGGAAGCTCTGGAAATTTATCAAGAATCGTTTGGAACAAATCATGTTCAAGTCGCTGAGTCTTTAAACAACCTCGGTTCTGCGTATTATAAAACTGGAGAAATCAACCAAGCTAAAGAGTGTCACAAAAAAGCTCTCAAAATTTTCAAAAATACGTTAGGTCCAAATCATGATTCTGTCTCTATGGCTCTGAACAATCTTGGTATGGTGCATGATAAAAATGGGGAATTCGACAAAGCAATAGAGTTTTACGAAAAAGCCCTGGAAATGAAACAAAGATTGTTAGGCCCTAATCATGTTGCCCTTGCCGTGTCTTTCAACAATCTTGGTGCGGTGAATGATGAAATTGAAGAATATGACAAAGCTATAACGTTTTTCGAAAAAGCACTTGAAATTCAACAAAAATCATTAGGACCAAATCATGTTGATGTTTCTGTGACTTTAAACAATCTTGCTACAACATATCGTAAACTTGGAATAGACAACAAAGCTATAGAGTTTCATAAAAAAGCTCTCGAAATTCGAAAAAAATCGTTAGAAACAAATCATGTTGATGTGGCTAGGTCATTAAAAGATCTTGGTGCGATGTATGCTAAAACCGGAGAATTCGACAAGGCTATAGAGTGCAATGAAAAATTTCTAGAGATTACACGAAAATCGTCCAAACCAAATGATGTTGATGTCGCCGAGTCTTTAAACAATCTTGGTTTGGTGTATGGAAAAACGGGAGAACTCAACAAAGCTATAGAGTGTCATGAAAAAGCTCTGAAAATTTTTAAACGATCGTTAGGTCCAACTCATGTTCATGTCGCTCTTTTAAAAATCTTGGTGCACTGTATGATAAAAGTGGACAATTGAACAAAGCTAAAGATTTTTACGAAAAAGCTTTGGAACTTCAAAAGCGATCGTTAGGGGCGAATCATGTTGATGTTGCCGAGTCTTTATACAATCTTGGTGTGGTGTATGATAAAACTGGAGAATACGACAATGCTATAGCTTCTTACATAAAAGCTCTGGATATTCAAAAAAGATCGTTAGGTTCAAATCATATTGAGGTTGCTGCAACTTTTTTCAATCTTGCTTTGGTGTATGACAAAACTGGGGAATACGGCAAAGCCATAGAGGCTCATCAACAAGATCTGGAGATTGTGAAAATGTGTTCAGAGCCAAATCCTGTTTCTGTCGCTGTAACTTCAAGCAATCTTGGTATGTTGTATGGTAAAACCGGAGAATACGACAAAGCTATTGAATATCTTGAAAAAGCTCTGGAAATTCGGAAAAATATCTCAGGACCAAATCATGTTAATGTTGCTGAGTCTTTATTCAATGTTGGTTTGTTGTATGATAAAACTGGAATATACGACAAAGCTATAGACTGTCATAAAAAAGCTCTGGAAATTTTTGAAAAATCGTTTGGTTCGAATCAAGTTTACGTCACTATGTCTTTAAACAATCTTGCTTTGCTGTATGCAAAAACTGGAGAAGGCGACAAAGCTATGGAGCTTCTCCAAAAGGCTCAAAATATTTTTGAAAATCCTTAGGTCTATAAATTATGTTCAATCGCCAAATCTTTTAACCAATTTTTGATATGTAAGATAATCCTGTAGAATAGGACAAATTTCATGAGCAAGCTATAAGTATCATGAAAAAGCTTTTAAATTTCACAAAAACTCGTTAGTATCAAATCATGCTGATGACGCTAAGTTCTTTAATAGTGTTCGTGCAATACATCATAAAACTGAAGAATACGGTAAAGCTATATAGCTATTTAGTGTTTCGCGAAAGAGCTCTAAAAATAAATGAAAAAATGTAAGGTTCAAGTCATGATGTCATTTAAAATATTTTTATTTGTTGTAAAGTAAATGAATGCATGTCTCAGGAATCAAAATAAAATCGGAGTTAGTGGAGCAGCGAAGTAAATGTATGAAACATTTTATGGTTTATTCAAAGTACGAGTCCAAAAGCGGAGTTTTTCAAAACTTTACACTATCCTTGGATCCCTAATTCAATATCTTCATTTATGCCATGTCAGCCGCCAATAACAATCTTCGCAACATCAACTATTTATTTCTGTTCCAAAACGACATCTATTTTTAAGAAAATCAATTATCGTTTCCTTCCCCAGCATGAATCTATTTTTATCGACACGAATTATCCATTTCAATCCTAGGTGTACATCTATTTTTAACTACTATAACTATTCATTTCTTTCTCAGGATGACATCTATTTCTAACGACACGAATTATCCAGAGGGAGTGCTGCCCTCTCGCCATGTTTAGAGTTTTCTTTCTATCTGAAGGCCGGTTTACACCTGTTTCTTACGAAAGTAATTATTCATTTCTATCTTAGGAGCACATGTATTTTTAAGTACTATAACTATCCATTTCTATTCCAGGATGACACCTATTTTTCTTCATTTTAATAATAATAATTAGAAAAACAGTCCAGAACTATCCATCTTTGATCCCTGGACAAGAAATATTTTTTCTTACTTTTGTTTTATCTAGCTAAGTGTAGTAAAAAGACGTCAGTGAATGATCTTACTTGTCTTTCATGACCTACTTCACAAGTTCGTCAATTCATGTAAACGTATAAATTATACGTGAAGACTTCCTTTTTTTGTAAATTTGATACTTAGGTGTGTGTTGAGAAATGTCCTGACTACACAGCCATCAACAAAAATGATGCCATTAAAATTAATTACGGTAAAGTTACATGTGTAGTTTGGGTGAAAAGGCCTGAGGTAAGTTGAAGATGTTGATTTAGAAACTTACGTTTCTCATCTTTTACTGCTCGTGTGTCGCTCTTGAAAGCAGAAAAGATATTTACAATCTTCTTAAAGAACATAAATATGCAAGTTTCTGTAATAATAGTTCATCAGGTGTTGTCATCACTGATATGTATATTATACTGGATAACGTATCCATGTATAAAGTATAGTAAGATAATTAAAGCCGTAATTTGGCTTATCTGATTATGACCTTCGTGGGGGTATCTGTCCCACTTTACTATACTTTTGTATTACAAAATACTCCCATGAAGCCAGTAGCAAATGAGATGCGTTATCCAGTCTAATACACGTATCAAGGTTTGCCATTGAGATGCGTGTTGTCAATAACGCGTTCATCACCAGCATGTCGTCTGGATTAAATTAACATAAAATGCGTTGTTTCATAAAAACTCTCTACATTTTTATGAAAGTTAATTTTTGAAGGGCATGTGAGGACAGTTTTTATATTAGTATATATTTACATGACTTCTGTATGGAGTTGTGCACTTTGAAATATTGTTAATAGAATCGTTGATAGATTTAACATTTCTGTACATTTCATGACGTTTTCAATGTAATTTTTTTGTGTTATATATATCTATAAACAGCTGTATAAATTTCATAATTATTCAATAATTGTGATATACACCTTATATAAACATCTTAGATGTTTTGTTATTTTCACATAACGCAAACAAAATCTTCGAAAGGATTAGCCTTTATTATAAGTGTTGGGTAGTTTTCGCCCCAAATAAAAATAATTTTTGTGTGTTGTCTAATGGTGATATAAATTATTTGCATAATGAAAAAGGAGTTATCAAAACATGTACTTCCGCACGAAAATAAGCTGAAAATAGCTCATGACACTTCACCAAAGTTCCTTTTGGTTATAGCATCTTTGACGGTCACAACCGCAAAGCCAATATCACATTTCAGTTAACGTCACGAACGATGGGTGTTCACACTCTTAAAGTTTGGTATAGACAAAGAAAGCTCAAGACCATTTTAGGCTTGGACTAGCGGGCTCTCCATCAAAACGTATATCCTTAATGTTACAAAGTATACAAGAAGCTAATTTTGGTAAAAAAATTCATACATTACAGATCTCTAGCTGAAAATAGAAAAAGGCATACCCTCAAGGCCCAAAGGTTAGTGAAAGTTTTCCTTATTCTCTCGATAATACACGTGTCATGATAAACATGGCATAAGAAAATAGAATCGGCATTCAATTATTTAATTTGAAAGCTTATTGCCATAGTAATATACCCAAGATCATCTAACACCAAATAAAAAAAGACAAAATGTTGTGTACAAAAAAAAACAGAAAAAGGTAGCTAATTTGGTTAAAATTGTGACAGGAAGTTGTCTTCGATTTGACTAAGCCTGAATGCTTCTACTGATTTCTTCAGGGTGATTTCTCCTTTATCATTGATGTATTTTTACGCAATTATCTCTTTTTATAATAATTCCAAATGTGACTTGTATATTTTATTGCTTATTTCATGTTTGCTCAATCTTTCTCGAAAAAGAAACACATTTCGCACAATCTGTACGAAGTGCTGGTTCACTGTTCTCCAACTTCACTCAAACTTGGGTGAAGTTGGAGAACAGTGAACCAGCACTTGCGAAAATATTTGAAGTGCATTTCTTCATCAATAGCTCGCATTTGTTGAACCAGCACAAACTCTCCCTCAGTTTTTCTTGACTGATGAAGTGGACGGACACACCAACTTCTTTTACGATGTCGCTTCCTTTTTCGTTGCAACAACAGCAATATTATTTCTTCCTCGAGTTCAAGCTCTTCCTCGTCTGACATTTTAGCAGAAATAAATTCATTTGATTCACAAAGAATATTATTAATGCCAATGCACTACTTGATGTAAGTGTCAACATAATTTTATCTTTGTATGCAGATTTCGCGCGGTTGTCGCATGAGCTGTCGCGTTTACTATAAATGCTTTATTTGATTGTCGGATGGCTCGTGCCCATAGATTGCGCAAGCCTGAGTGTCGCGCGACACTTGTCGCACGAAGTATAAATTAGCCTTAACCCTCATCAGACTCCTCTTCATCATACCTTCCTCTGGCATGGACAACAACCTTCTTCCCGTCACCAAATGGGACGGAGTTTATGGTTCACTACCCACCTCGTCGTACGTATAAGTCAATGGCCTAGAATTTAATGTTGCCTCAACTTCTACCATCACTGTCATAAGTTCATCAAATGTCAACATAGCATTTCCTAATACCTTCTTCAAGCACCTCTTCACTGACCTAACCATCCTTTCAAAAAATCTACCCCACCAGGGAGCTGTTTCTAGATTGAATTTCCACTCCATCCTATTGTTTCACAAATACCCTTGTACACTTGCATTATTATAGAGGTTTTCTAAAGTCTTGAATGTTGCTTTGAATGTTTTTGCATTGTCTGATACCATTAATGATGCGGCCCCCTTCTCGCTGAAAATCGTCTAAGACATTTCATGAATTCATCCGCAGACAAATCTTTAACTATGTCTAAATGTAAGGCCCTAGTTACGCAACAGGAAAACAATGCGATGTATACTTTGTCTGTCCCCCCTTAAGTATTCTTCACACATAGTGGTGCAGCAAAATCTACCCCTTCTTCAAAAATGGTTCCGCTTGCTCCACTCTGAATGCCGGAAGGTTTCCTTCGTTTGGTCTATTATATGGTTTACCCTCTAATTTCTTGCACACGACACATGTGTTGAGAATTGATTTTACCTTCTGTCTGCGTTGTGGAATCCAGAACCTTGACCTTATCTCTGCTAAAGTTGCCCTAACTCCGCTATGATACACCTTTTTGTTGCAATACTCAACTATTAATTCCGTCAATCTACCTTCCTTTGGTAATAAGATTTGGAAACTCCGTTTCCTTATCCAAGTCTGATTCTGCTAGCCTACCTCGACATTTTAGTAACCCCCCATCTTCTACTACCTTGAGTTGTACCTCTAACTGCTTGGACTTATCATCCTTCTTTAGCCTCTCTTGTGAAGACTTCAACCAAAGTTTTTCTGCTTTACTTATCTCCTGACTCCCTAATTCCGTGAAAGTTAAATCTCCATGTTTGCCTTTGATCCTAGCGATCAAATTCCTGACAAGTCGTGTGACCAATGCCGCTACTCGGAATATATTCTCAACCCTCTCTATAGAGATCACGTTCTGAATACCTCTTTTTTCGTTAGTATCTATTTCTAATAGTGCCGCTCGTTTTTCTTCTTTACTCTCCTCAGTTACGCCTACCTCTGATTGCGGCCATTCTCCTTCTACACTTCTCAGCCACCTTGGTCCTGTCCACCTAAGGGAGTGCTCTTTTATCTTCGACGCAAACACTACCCTGCTTCCTAAATCAGCGGGATTTTCCATTCCTGGACAATGTTCCCACTTCTCCTTCTGTGTTATTGCTAAGATTTCATTTACTCTATGTCTAACAAACTGTTTCCACTATCCGCAATTCTGAATCCAATATAATGCTGTAATACTATCTAACCAGTACCTTGCCTCTATTTTCCCTACTTGGCCTACTAAAGCTTTCCGCACAGATTCCATTAACTTTGCTAACGTCAGCGGGGACATTAGTTCTAAGCGCGGTATAGTAAGCTTCTTCAGCGGCGCAATTATAGTTTTTGCTGTTAACAATTTCACAAAGACTCCAACACTCGTGCGACAAACAAAACATACTAGCGCGCAATACACTTTCTTGCTTGCATCACCAAACCTGTGAAGTTCAGAAGATCGACTTTTGCCCTTCACACCACTATAGATGCATCTACTTAGCTTAATAGTCTTAACGCGGTTTAGATCTTCAATCTATTATGTGTATAGATTGGCGTGCTTGCCGCTCATATCGTCATCCCAATCAATCTTTTCTACGCACAACTGCTGTAACAAGATTTTTCATCAAAAATATTACGCAGCTAATTAATCCTAACGGATCAAATATCTTTGCTAGTGCGCTCAGCAGGTTTCGTTTAGTTAGCTTCTTGTCACCCAAGTCTCCTACAAACTTTTGTAGGTCCAACATGAACAGGTCATTGTCGCAATCCCAGTATATACCTAAAACATTTGCGTAATCTTCGTTATTTTGGATTCCCAAACTCCTTTGTGTGAATGTTTCATAGTCTGCATCTGTCGCCTGCAAGACATTGTTCTCGCATTTACGCTGTTCTATATGCGCTCGCACGTTTGCGTCATTTGTCATACATTTCCTTAACTTAAACCCGCCTTGAGGCATTCTAAATTTCGCCTTTTCATATAAATCGATCGTTTCGTGTGCGATTTTGCCCCCCGAAACTAAGTCATCAACGTAAAATCCTTCATTCAATTTTTGAGAAAGCACTGGATGTGATTCTGCAAATTGCTCTATGTGATTCCTAAGCGTGGCGTGAGTAAAAATGGCGAGGCATTTAATCCAAACACTACTCTGCAAAACCTGTAAACAACAACCTCTAAATTAGCATTAGTCGCATCTCTAACCCACAGAAATCTTAAATAGTCCCTGTCTGCTTTGTCTACTTCTACGTACAAAAATGCTTTCTCTTTGTCTCCTACCAAGGCTACTCTGTTTTCCCTAAATCTAATTAATATATCAAACAACAACGGTGTTAATGATGGTCCCACATGAAGACAGTCATTCAAAGAAGTCCCTTTCTTACCCTCCTTTGATGATGCATCATACACTATTCTTAGCTTAGTTGTTTTGGCTTCTTTACGTATCACCGCTTGATGGAGAAGATAATGAACATTCACCCCCGGCTCTGACTCGTCAACCCTTTCAATGACACCCATGTTTAGTTGATCCCTAATAATTTTATAGTATTCCTTTAACAATTCAGGCTCATTTGACAAGCGCTTAATTTGCTCTTTCATGCGTTCTAAACTATTGGCAGAGTTACCTGCTAAATGCCCGTGACCCTGCTTCCACAGCAATTTAACAGAGTACTCATGCCCATTAAATTCAATTTTATCTAACAAGGCTTCGTGCACATCGTCAGTTTCCCTGACCCTAAGTGTTTCTAAATCCCACAACTTGTTCACTTGCCTGTTTATGCTGTTTTTCTGCGTTGCAGTCTGCAAAACTAAATTAACATGTGCGTTTTTTGACTTTCGAGCTCCCTTTCAGTGGACCGCATACAACCCATCCTTAACAAGTGTCAATCGCAACTGGCTCATCATTTTTGCCCCTAATTATTTCTCCTTTCTGAAAAGGCCCAAAGGTTATCTGCTCCTATCAAAACATCCACTTCCAACATCTCCTGCTTCAAACTTACATCTGACAAAAACAATTTTTTCAGATGAGAATACTTCTCCTTAGCCACCTCAATATGCTCATTTTTTACCGTACAAATACGTGGAACTACTAATGCCTCTAAACGAATTTTGCAATTACCCCTAACTGATGTGACCTCGCAATTGACGACTTCAGTCATCTTATCTTCATTTGTTCCACCACCAAAGATGTTGACCTCTAACCATTCCCATCCATTCCATAACAATTAGTGACTATATACTTAAGATGATGTATATTCCGTGAAAGAAAATAAATTTCCACGTATCGACGCAAAGGATATATGTGACCCTTATAACTTGCGCGAGCAATATTACATCTTTGTAGCATAAAAAAGCGAGATTTATTAAGATATAAAGCCGCGAAAATGTTATCATATTTTCCATTAGTTTCTTTGAACATACAAACATATAAACATACAAAGTGCAACATACATGAATAATTACATGAATAAATAGCAACTTGTTTCATATTTAACCCAATACTGTAGCCTGAGGCACAGCTACGTTAGATTGATTATGGTGCCAACGCAGAGTGTTAGCTACCTTTGTAAAAGAATTTATTATTGTAGAGCACACGTACATGAATATCCTTCCCACTCCAGTGCTCTAGCTGGTTATACGCGACAACGAAAGAACTTACTTTATTTAAATACAAAACAACACTTAATGCTTTGACTATCAGATGTGTCTACTAAAATTCCTGTATATCTTAATGCAAGATAGTCAAATAGCGTAGCCAACGTGACTTTTTACTTCCGCTATGCTAATATTTTGTGTTCACTGACCGTGAGAACAGTAGATTTCTTAAGAAATGAATAATTGTAATTTTTCAGAATTTTCATAGCGGAAGGAAGTCTGCAAGCTGGCTACAATACTAAACGCCAATACTAGCGTCTTGTTTTGAATTCAAAGTAATGTGACGATTTAATAATTTTTTAAGAATATAAATGGAAAAGTGTCTTCAATACATACCATGGAGCAGTTTCAACTGGTTTGGAAGAATAATATTGTTTTTTTTTTTGGTATAATTGGCATCTTTGTTTCTAGTATTTCATTAGTTTTATATCTTGATAGTTCATTTAATTGTCATAATGAGATTATATCAAAGACGAAAGAAAGCTCTCTTTTAAAGAGCATTGAATCAAGATGTTTCAGACAATACAAAGATGGTTTAACTTTTAAGTATGCTGTTTTTCTTATGGTATTTTTTAATTTTGCCATTGTCTTATTTTGGAGTATTGTCTATGGATATTATGTAAAGCGTCGAATTGAACATAATGATAATGACAGTCCAATAGAAAACAGTGACGAACAAAGTGAACATCTACATGGGGAATATAGCGAAGAAGTTCATCATTCTAATAACGTTGCATTTAATTTTTCTTCATTTTACATTTACATCGTTCATTTGGTGGTTCGCCTCATCATATTGTCTGTCTTTGTTGGGTTATTTTTCTATGCCAAGTTTCCAATCGAATGCACCTGTAAAAGACGTCCAACTATGAAAGAAATTTCCTTGTTAAATCACACCATTTCTAACATTGATTGTGAAAATCCCAACGGTGATAAAAGTGAAATTTTAATTAAACTGTTTTATCTGTAAGTTTAATTGTAATAACACTAACAATTTTGGAGCTGTGTTACTTGACGTATAAGGCTTGGACTGATAACTCTTTTAAAAAAGAGGATAAATTTTGTGCAGTTTACTTAAATTTTGTACCGCTCCAAATACCTAAAATGCTAAAAGAAAATAAATACAAATATGCAAAACCATTGGAAAGAAATAAAGATGAATGTACGAAATCGTTGGTGGAAAATAAAGACGACTGTGCAAATCCGTTGAAAGAAAAAGAAGAAGAATGTGGAGAAACTTTGGAAGAAATCAAAAAGAATTTCGACACGAACGAAGTATGTGTAATACATGACGACTTTGGCGATAAGACCAAAGAATGGCGAATCCAATATTTACATCAACGTCATAATACAAGCAGATAGACAATTAGAGAATGCTTATCCAGAAAATTTAAAAGGCACGAAATCTTTCATTGCTATCTTACAATAAGAAAGATACAAAAATTAACAAGAGCAACAGAAATTTTTAAACCAATCCAGGAGGAGCAAGACCAATCGTATCCCCGTACCATTTTAGTTATTGGAAGGCCAGGAATTGGTAAAACTATGTTAACAAAAAAATTTTACTTGAATGGATGAAAAATTCAGATGAATTTTTTCTAGATAAACTAGTTCTTTTAATGCGATGTCGTGCATTTGAAAATAGCAACATTAGTCTCAAAGATATGTTAAGTGATTGTGATGGATTTTCAGATAAAGAATTTCCTAAAATTTACGACTTTGTAATCAAGTATCCTGAAAAAACTGTTCTTGTGTTTGATGGTCTTGATGAGCTATCTTTGAATGAAGAATGCCTTAAAATTGGTGGTTCAGTCCTCCATGATGCGAAAATGCCAACATTTAGACTATTAAGTTTGTTGGTAAAACGTAAACTGCTGCCTGGTGTCACTGTTGTTATAAAATCACGACCCACAGCTGAACATGCATTTGATGAACTAAAATTTGACCGAACAGTAGAGATCTTAGGTTTTTTTGAAGAGCAGATCAAGTATTATATCGAAAAGTTTTGTGGTGATGACAAGAATACCAATGAGCTGATTTTGAATTGAATTAATAATTCAAATGAACTTCGTAGCCTGTGCTACATCCCTGTCAACACTTATATTGTTTGTTTGACCCTAAAGGAATGCTTTATAAATAATGCTGAGGATATTCCAAAGACAATCACTGAATTGTACAACAGAGCAATTAAAATCTTACTATGGAGACACCATCCTCTCAAGAAACGAAAAACGCCGAAAAATCATTTGACTATCCCTTTACCATCCTTACTTGATACAGATTTAAAAAAAATAAAAGAAACAGCAAAGAGAGGACTTGAGGAAGGAAATTTGATTTTTGAAGAAGAGAATAATGCAGAATTTCATAATTTGGCAATTTGTGGTGTTTTTCATCAGATACCACATAAACGACGCTTTTTTTACTGCTTTCTTCATTTAACTCTTTAGGAATTTTTAGCTGCGTTGTGTATTGTTGACGATTGGCAAAACCTTGGAAAATTTTTGAATGAACACTTGGCAGATCCCAAATGGCATTTGGTGATTGAATTCATTGCTGGTTTAGTTGGAGATATGAAAAAAAGAGGAGAAGTAGAGGATATTAACGTTGTTGAACAAAGGTAAAATATTTATATGTATTAATGGCAAATCTCTGCACGTTTTATGTGGCTATGTGAAATTTTTTAATAAATCCAAGGGAACTCATTTAAAAAAAATATTATATATTATCTTTCTACTACGATTTTCATAATTTGATGTTCAAAGCAACAATCTAAGGATTCTTTGACACCTGACATCTCATTAACCTACTTTTATCTAAAATCTGGATGTTTGTAAGTAATAAAGTCTAATGGTAAATGTTTTAGAGTTCGCCGCAATAAGCAGTATTTGGTTTTGCATTTTACCTTAAAAGTAAGAGCATTCTTTCTTTCTTTTTAATTTTAGTAAAATATAAATGATAATGTTTCGGGTTAATCTGTTGTAGCGAAAAGATTGTTGTTTAAACCGTTCCATTACAATATGCTTCACTAATAAAGTAGGATTTTGTTACATATATTCAGAATTTATTCACGTGATTAGTGAACTATCTATTAATTATCAAATATTTTCTAGCATTCAACCTTATATATAATGACCTTGCCTGCTGGACAGCTGTTTTATTACTGTTTTATTAGTAAAATGTGTAACTTTCATTTTAAACTAAAGTATGTCCAACCTCAGTTGTCCTTTAGAAAAGAGAAGAGCAACTTAAAAAATAATTCAAAAGTGTGAACATCAATGAAAATAAAGTTTCATTATTCAATACATTGCACTAAATCCAATCAAAAACCATATATAGCTCTTTATAGTACTCTATTTTATTCATTACAACATGAACTGATACTACATATGGAGTATTTGGAGAGCAATGATTATATGGTAGTTGTAAGTGTTATAACTTCATGGAATGGAGTAAGAAACCACATTTCATTCTTACAAAACATCTAAGAAATCCTCCGTGTTTTTTCTACCAATGTTTGGCCTGGACCCAAATAACAAAACATGCACCTACTCAAGTCTTAAATGCAGTGCAGAACATGCTCAGAAACACGGTACAAAATATCCAATTACTAATTTTGACCAGCCTATTATTCAAACTGGGCCAACTGGAGTCCTATCAGCAATGCAATAGTTCGCATTGGCGCATTTCACACGCAGATGAGCTTCTCTGGCTCTATTGTTCATCTAATGGCAGAGACCAAATTAAAAGTGCTTTTAAATCTTGCATACCAATCGAATGCGGTTGACTACATGCTCAGCGGTAAAGCAAAAGCAATTGCAATCCGTGGTCACCTCTTGGTTGATGCTGCTTTGAACACCCTTCTCTTTGCTTTAGCACTTGGTGTCTCTGCAGTCGGCAAGTGCAGGTAGCATGATAATAAATTTTTTACACCATTATGGATTCAATTTTCCATAATATAGGTAGCATTATTGTAATTATGTAATATTTTAGGACATTTTCTCTCAATGACAATGAAAGTAATCAAATAGTTACAGGAAGCTCAAGCAAGGAGTGGGGCAACATACCATATGAAGAGACAAGAGGTATAGATGCAAATTCAATTTTGAATTAAGCAACACTGGTTTGCTTGCAAAATTGTATTGAAAAGGTTTCTTGGCTTCTTAAATAACAACGCAATGAGCATTAAAAGTGAAATGATTAATATAAGATTTGATTCAAAATTTCATGCTCAGAGCATAAAAATCGATGTAAAAAAGAAATTTTTCGATTGGTATGAAACATTAAAAGTTAGATGCCATATTTTATCTTCATTTAATTATACTTTGAAAACTGGCTGCAAAATTTTATCAGAAGCACGTATTCTTTTTGAGCTACCACTGGACAAAAAGATTTCATAGGAAGAAGTGGAATCTAATAAACTCAGGGTAGGTCTCCCGACTTACCTTGTCATCGAACAAGTGTTGATGCGTAATTTAAAGACCAGCGGCGGTTTAACGAGGGGGAGAGGTATGACCGAGCAGCAACGGCTTACATGGCTTGTGGTGATGCCTGCTACTGCTGAAGTCAGTCGGTTGATGCAAGAATACACAGGTGTAAACTATAGCTCTGGTGAACAAGATAACGATGTTACTCATGCAAGAAAAGAGAGAGAGAGAAAAGGGATACTCTTAAAATCCTTACTGTTCTTCAAGAGCACAACCCATTTTCTCAAGACCCAAAATTAAGAATTAAATATCATAATTGGAGTCAATGGACAAGTGCAAAGACTGTGTGAGAAAAGATTCTTTCTTTAATGAAGGATAGGTCGCCTTTCGAGTACCAGTCCAAAAGAAAAAAAACGCTGTAACTTTGGCAACAAAATCTGCTGTAAAGATAGGTGATATGTAGGTACAAGTTGATCTCCTATCACTCTTTCGCTATTAACTGTGTACGTATCCTTCTTCCTTTTTTGATTCTTCTTTGATGCTATTGCATCCTAACAAGCCAGTTTTGGCTGATGCCGTTTGGTCTATACTTTCTCATGAAACCCAAGTAAAAGCCCAGGTAGTGAAAAAGACTGGCAATATGTTTTAAACAGAGGAGCACTTTTGCACAGACTAATTTGGCCATCTTCAGGGTCTGCAACCTACAGAGGAGTATGTCTTTTATATTGTCATTACGTAGCTAAAAATATGGAAAAGCTATTATTGTCAATGACGAGTATAGGCAGCACATCTACCAAGCAGATGACGCAGATGATATTCTTAAGATGATTTAAATTCCGTGGAACGAAATAAATTGCCACGTATCGACGCAAAGGATATATGTGACCCTTATATATAAGTTATATATAACTTATATATTACATCTTTGTAACATAAAAAAGCGAGACTTATTAGAACATAAAGCCACCAAAAAGTAATCATATTCTCCGTTAGTTGCTTTGAACATAGAAAAACGTGTAACTAATAAAACAGGCAGCACAAATCTCCATTGTAGACTAAGTTATTTCATGCAGATTTCATTTAATGCGTACATTATTATTTATGCAGATTCCATTCTTTTCGAATATCCTGAACAATGATTTGGATTTGTCGTTAGTGTAATCGAAATGACATCAATGGAAAAATAGATGTGCTTCACTCTTAATTGTCATCTTGTCATTAACACTAAGTAAAAAGACATTTATTAATTTCTTTTTATTCAAGCTTTTAGCAAATGTTATTTGCCTCACGCTGATATGCTAATAAAAAATCAAGATACTCTGGCTTTGCAATCGACTGCATAAAAAAATATCACTTCTTTTTTGGATTTTAAAGTATTTATATAATGGTTTTGATCAGTTTTAAGTGCATTCAAAATATATGGCACAGAGAATGAAAAATAAATATGCTCGAACCCAATGTCCTCAACAAAGAATGAAAGAGCATATTTAAAATAGTGTTTGTCTCATGCTGATATGCAAATTATGAATCAAATCGCTCTTTCTTTGCAGTCGACTAGATAAATGCATATGAGTATGTATATACACACTGCAGAGAATGTAAAGATAATCCTCTAGTAAGCATATACTTTATAGTAACGCATTAGATTTTACATTTTTAACCTATCAATCAACATGCTTTAATTACAATCAAACACATAAATTATAAAAAAAACAATAAAAA